GGCAAAAACCAACACACAAACACACATACCCAGGAAAAAAAAAGGAAACTCTGCTCGGGGATAACAGATTAGTTGAAGCAGCGTCCTGCTGTCTTTCCATGGAAATCAAAACATTTTGTTAAAAGGAAACACACACCACACATACACACACATAACCAGAAGCCTGCCTATTCACACAGATACGAATGCGCGTTTATCTGCGGAAACGGAGATACGCTCAACGTGCTGAAGACCCAAGCTCTAAACTCCTCCGCTTCAATGGAAACTGTCTATCTCGGCGAGAGTCCTAACGCATTTTGTTGCCAACTTATGTGTAATAAAATGTAATAAAATAAAACTCTCATATTAGAGATGTTGTGCCATTTTTTGCTGTCGTTGTCGTTGCCCCCATAAAAAGCTCACCAAATGTCGGCTAGTTTGGCTGTTCTTTGCTTTTTTTTTGTCGTGCTGAACTGTCTGCGGTTGGTATTAGCCACGTTACACACTCGGAACAAAAATCTCAAGGATATCTTGGAAATCGCCTTAAAAATGTGGTGTATTTGTGAAGCTAAATGGGAATTACAAATCTATTTAAAGATATATTTTTTTATTATGTTTTCTTAAAGTCTTTGGTTTAGGTAAATGTATCTTATTTAGACCTTGTATATTAAAATGTATATTTCAAAATGCATAAAACGTAGCATAAATATAATAAAAAGTAAAGTTTTAAGATTGGAACGGTCAGTATAGTCAGTATATAGTATTGAACAAGAAAAGTAAGAAAAGGATTATGGTTTTGAACATAAAATCAATCATAACTTAGCCAAAAAAGCATTAATTTCGATTCGGAGACCTCTTCTGTGCTAGTTTTTAATAGGTTAATAAATCTGCATACCAAAATTACATTTTAAAACTATTTCAATTTTTGTCAATTTTAACATTTTTTTGTCAACAAGATCAAAAAGTCACTCAAAAAGTCTGAAAAAAAAAAAAAAAATTTCTTTTTTTATGCCTAGAAAGATTCGCCTGTTGATGCTGATTAAGAATATATATGGATTATGGGGTCGGAAATGACTCCTTCAGTAAATTGTAAGCTTCTGACTGAAATTTTAATACCCTGCAAGGGTATAAAAATTCGCATTCTTTTTATATGAAGATTTTTTTAAAGTCCGTATCTTAAAAAATTCATAACTAAGCCAAAAAAGCATTAATTTCGATTCGGAAAAATGTTCTGTGCTAGTTTTTAATATGTTAATAAATCTGCATACATAAAATAAATTTTTAAAATATATAAAATTTTGTCAATTTTTCAACATGTCAACAAGGTCAAAAAGTCACATAAAAAGTCTGAAAAAATTTTAAAAATTTCATTTTCTTTCCTTTATGGCTAGAAAGATTCGCCTGTTAATGCTGATCAAGAATATATATGGATTATAGGGTCGTAAATGACTCCTTCACTACGTTTCATGCTTTTGACTGAAAGTCTAGCCCTGCAAGGGTTTAAAAATTCAATACAATCCCTGCAACTTTTCCTTCTTTTCCCATCTAATTTTAATAAGCAATCATATAAGCAATAAACCTATCTATATTTATATGAAATAAATAAGACTTAATGGGGAGTATCCCTTCCTTTCTCTCAGTGCTTACACACCGAGTTCTTTGTGATGGTAATGGTAATCATAATAACAATCAGCCTGAAGTGCCCACAATGACACATAGCAGGGCTTATTAGGATCATCCTCGCTCGTGGGTAGTTAGTGTCACTGGTGATTAAAATCAAGTGGTTTTGTGCAGATTTCCGCACTTGATTGACGACTATGGCGCTATGATGACTCTCACTCGCCGCTCCACCGCAAATCTCATTTATTAATTCCGTTTCAAAATTAAACTCGAATCAAAAAACATTTAAATGACAGTTAAAATATAAATCAAGTGGCGGCAAACGCAATCTGTCAGTTATAGCTGCTATTCCCATAAATGCTAACTGGAAAAGAAGAAAAAAGTTGTTGGAAAACTTTTTATGGGACATTTCATCTCATTAGGCAGCTGGTGCCGCCAAAAGGCAAACCGAGGCGAGGCGAAACCATTAATTACATTTGGCTGCTAGCGACAAATTGAATTAACTTGTGTCAAAGTGCAGCGTATTGATTTTCTAATTGGGCCCAGGACTCGCCACAACCACAAAGGCAAAATGGGACGGCCATTAAAAACTCATTTTGCAATGCGAAGCGGAAAATTAATAAATTTTTTAAAATGAATTTTCTTTGCCCCACAAACAAACAGGGCTTGAGGCCCCGAGTGAGCTGCTGCTTGCTGACCATTAACTTAATGAGGGTCATTGAGGGCCGGCATGTTGGCTCTTCACACCTTGGCAACAGATGATGACCACAAAGGACGACTGCGACCACGACGACGACGATGGCAAGACGTCTCGGATGAAGATGTTGTTTTTGTTTATACACTCTCTCTCGCCGCCTCCTTGAACTACAGCCCCCGCAGGATATGCCAGAGCAACGGAAGGCAGCGGGATCCAAAAGACTTTTTAATGTGCCAACTTCCGTTGGCGGCAAAAAGAGGGAGGAAAAGGAAGACTCCGACGTCGACTTCTGCGGCGGAAACGGAAGCCAAACAAATATGGCCGACGCACGCTTCGCCGGATAAAAAAAAAGAGAAGCAACAATAAAACTTTTTTAATGCATTTTTAGATGCCTCACTGGTGGGGGGGGATGAAGGCACAGTGGTTTAAATTGAGGCTTTAAACAAGAAAATGATTTATGATATGCATCAAGAATTCTTAATGAATATTTATGGGTTTAATAAATACAGCAAGTCACTAAATTAAAATGCTTCTGACAGAGTTTATATATTTCAAATATATTGATGATGAAAAGGTTAAACAGAATTTAAAAGTATTAAAGAATCATTAGGCTGAACTCTTATATTTTTTCAAGTGGAAATTATAATCAATTCCTTCACAAATTAACTATGCAAACTACTGACCTATTAATATCTTATAAAAGCTACCAGCAGCTCATATATTCACTCTTAATCAGTGCCTAATAAACTTCAAATATAATCTCAGCTTTATTGAAAACCCACTCGCTTTCACCTTCTATAACATTTAATATTCCCATTAGCCTCAACCCCGTTTCAGTGTAAACACAAGCTTAATGAAAATAAATGTATACATCAGCTAAATTCCATTAGCTAGCTTATCCCTTAATATTGCCGCATTAATTATAAGTTTACGCTAATTAAATTTTCACAACTTTGAACGCCACACCTCACCACTGTGCAGTCATGGTGGATTATTTCGGTGTTTTTCCAACCCAAAGTCCCCCTCGTTTCGGGGGTCAAATCATCCCCCCGGCGAGTGTCTTTACAAATTTTTGATTTGCCACTGAAATATTTGGGCCACATTTTATTTTCGTTTCGTTTTGTTACTTTTTTCCCGTATATATAATTTACGCCAATTTATTTTTGTCGTTTTTAATGTTTTTCTCGTTTTTCATTTGAAGCCTGCGGTTAGCAAGGGATAGTATAAAAAACAGAAAGCTTTTCCTCTGACGTTGATGCTGATGATGATGATGATGGCCCCAGAGTAGAAAACAAAACAAAATAAAATGAAAATAAAAAGTAAAATGGAACAAAACAAGCCAGAACGAACCGAAACGCTGATACAGGCTGATGGCCGGCGAGTTGGCCAAATGACAGAGAATAGTAAACAGGACATAACGACAATTTAAATGACATTTTTAGTTGGCATTTATGGTTGAGCAGCAGAGGATAATAATGGCTTCTCTTCGTTCCAATCCAACTCTATCTTTTCTCTTTGCCTCCCCTGTGGTTTTGCCCCCCGTGTGTGCGAGTGTGTATGGATAGTGACATGCGATATTTGATCAATAAACTTGCCAGGACAGCACAGGATACGCCGTGATGTGTGTATCCTGTTTTTGCCAGTTCCTGCAGCAAGTCCTCAGCTGAATTTCACTCCCTCTGCCAGAGCTTGGCTTATTTTTCCTTTTGACTCGAGCCGCATTCATTATAAAAAGCAAACAAGGTAGACGCCACTAGACGCCACATCAATCTGGCTTTTTTCTGTACACAGAAACAAAATATAGCTCAATGGATAGAGCGAATATCAAGGGATTTACTTGGGTATAAATATATATATTTGTTAAAATATAACTATAAGGATTTCACGAACTTGTAGATCAATATTCAGATCATTCGGTAAGATAGTTTGCAAAAGGTAATTAAAATACCAAAAAACAATATATCCTGTACACTTCAGAAGAACATAAGTTTCCTAAGTTAATTATTAATCCTTAAATTAGCCTTAAGTCTTCCACTTTTTTCCCCGTGCATCTCCATCTAAAGCGTTTTCGCACGTTTTCCTTGCCAGCAGATCAAAGGACCTTCTCGTCGTCTCGTGGCACTCGAGGGGTTTCGCTCTGGCAAAACAAAAACCCTCGGGCCTGTCTCAAGCGTTATTTATTGTTAACGAAATAGCCGACGCCTACCTCCTCACTCACACCCACCATCCCATTCATCCTCTCTTGTGCATGGAAAACCCTTGGAAGCAACCCCCAATTCACTTGCCAGCGCCTTGAGGGTAGAGGTTAAAGTTAAAGGGTCTTGGATCCGCCTTGGATCCCGGGGTTGCCAGACCTGGCCAAAAGGGGGCCGAGACATTATCATTATTCCGAGCTGTCTGGCAATTAATCAAATGCTAAATGCCAACAAAAAACGCATTTTGCGGCTTACAAGGCTGTCGACTTTCAGGGGTTAACGCAAATTACAGTGAAAGGTTTCCCTAAGACAGACGTGCAAAGAAAGGAGAAACAAAAAGTATAAAAAAATGGAGGGTATAGGAAAACAAATTAGCATAAGACATGCAACAAGTTAAGCCTTCTTAAAAGAAAATTTATATGGATTTTTATCAAGGGAAATCTAAGGTAGAGAAGCTCTTACTTATAGAAAATTCTAGAGTCTTGAAAATATTTCTTTATTTTACTCACATTATAAGACCATCAATTTCCTCTTTAGTTGTACTTTTAGAAAACTGAAATTAAATAAAATACAGAAGTTATTAGATACTTAATGAAATTCTTTATCATTCTTTATAACTATCTTTAATATAATATTTTTTCAGGGAACCACAAAATTTGCATCCTGTCAGACCGACATGTTAATGTAATTAAGCTAACCGCCCTAGTTAGCTTTCACTGTAACTTCTCGAATCTTGACTGTCCTCCTCCTGGTTGTGTCGTTATTGTTTCAATTGTTTTTGGCCAGCCTGTCCCGATGACAACAAAACTAAATTAACACACACACACACACACAGGACACAGGACAATGGACACTGAACACTGGCCATAGAATCACTACACTGTCCTGCTCAACTTTCCCCTCCCTCCGATCTGCCATCAGTTTCGCACTCTCATGTTGGTTCTCTTGAACACACAAAGCCAATTGACAGTTGGGATGCTCTAGGGGGGGATTCGGATTCGATGCGACTTTTCCGGGGGGCACGGGAAAGCCAATTGAAAGCAGCACACAAGGATTACAATCTATCAGCTCAGTCCCCCCCTTTCCCCACCCACACTCTCTTCCTCTCCCCCTCCGGCCATCTCCATTTCCCTTTTCCCCAACTGCAGGCGAATTTTGGGAACTTGTCAAGGATTCAAAGTTCGAACGCTTTTGGACCATGGTCCGTATTGGTCACTCCATTGCTGTCGGCCTCTGGCTCTGCCTCGCTCCCGTTCTTTGGTCCTTGGTCCTCGGTCCTTGTTCAACTGCAGCTCAGCTCTTGTCGCATTGCAGTTTTGCCGGGGTTCAAGCGCTTTGTGTGTGTTAAAACTCTTTTTATTGTTGTAAATTTTCGGGTGCAAGGTTTGTTCTGCCGCGTTTATATTTTTTTCTACAGTAAAATTGGCCTACATAAGCTTTATAAAAAGAAAATAGAACAAAGGTTTATTGGGAAATAATTTGTTTTGTGAAGTTGGATTTTGGTTAGTTAGATTTTGATCCTTCGATATTTGCTGTTTTTCCAGCAGTGATACTTTTTTCCAAACTATTATTATTATATTATTATTATATAATTTAAAACACAGTACCGGGCTATAGTATCTTTTTTATAAACCTTTTAAAGTTTAAGCATAAGAATTATGCCATAAACCTTAACACTAATTATAGACATAAAGTTTTCATGGCACAGCTTATGACAGCTTAAATTCTCTAGATAGTTCTTAAAACGTTCTTAAAAGATTTTAAGTAGTATGTATGTTTAACCATTATCTTCATAAGGTAATGCTTTCTTTAATTAATTCAAAACTAGTACAGAAAATATTTTAAAAAGTAATCTATAGAAAATCAAAGTATAGAGTAACCAAAACTTAAAACTTTTGACCCAAGTTCGATTAAGAGAAGTTCAACTGTAGTTGCTTTTGGCTTTTCAATGATTTGCCATAGGTTTTTGCTTCAACCATTTGCATGTGCCAACTGCTGAAGCTGTGTGCGTGTGTATCTATGTATCTGTATCCTGCATCTGCCTGTGTATCTGTGTCTGGCAGGCAACTCTATTACACTTAAAACGAGTCAATGCGTTTTAAAAAGGAACGAACCAATTGAACCAGCAGCCATATATGGGAAGGGGTCAACAAGGATCTATGTGTGTGTATGTGTGTGTGTGTGTGTGGGAAACGTGTGTGAGTGCAGCTGTGATTGTGTGTTGTTAAGGGGAGGTGGGGGAGTACACCTTGGGGAATTTGTAATTGAGGCACGTGTATGGCTAAATGATTGTGATCTTTTGGGCATTTCAAATATGCAATTAACGAACAGTAATGAGTCCACAAAGGAGGCTGCAATGAAAAGGGAGCCAAAGGTGGGGGTACAGGAAAGAACTATACCCTAAAATAGGACAAAACAAAGGGAGGACTAAGTGAATGGCATTAATTTGGAAATTTGTGGGGAAGTAAATAGGTTGAAAATAGAAGGAATTGATTAGTAGTTAGGAATTTAATTAAAATTCCAATGAGATATGTTGATTGATAAAAGGTAGTTCTCGTAAATAAATAGTTAGGAGAATTGTAATACTTAGAAAATCAAATATCAATGAACTACTTTAAAGTCCTGAATGTCCCCAAAAGTGGTATAGGAAATACCCAAAACTCTACCATTTCACCATTCAATCTAATCACATTTCCCCATTTAAACTTTAATCGAACTAAGACTAAATCCACTTTTCAACTGCCAAAAATGCAATGGATAAATCTGTCCCGACAATTCCGCCAGATAAACTAATATCTCTTTCTGTCCATATCCGGCACGAGCTTTCCAGTCCATTGATGACCGACCAAACCGGCGCACCATTTTACAAATTGACTTTATGCCATCCATTTCGATTGCCATACCCTGTCCGTCCGCCCGCCCAAAAGTCCTCCTCCTCTCCGACGCCCTAGGAAAACCCTAATCCATGGTCCCCTTTTATATACCGCCCCCCATTTCCACACCAACCCATCAATTCACACAAAAACGGCAGCTTAGAGCAAAGTTTTAGCAACTAAAAACGGCGTCACATAAATGAATCGAGAGAGGGAGGGAGGGGGTCCTGTGTAGACACAAAGGCGGGGGGAAGGATTGTAGACTCTATGTAGAGGATATAGAGGGGGTTACGGACGTGGACATGTCACGCACACTTTATCCTTTATCCTGCCAGCGTCGCCGTGGCTTTTCGGAAAACGTTTCATTTTCCGTTCTGTCAAAGGTATACAAAACAAAAAAAAAACTTTACCAACTGGACGACGGGGGTAAGGGATGTCGACAACAGCTAAATGCGCGAAAATTTCACCCAGGACCTTTCCCCTTTTGAATACTGCAACATGGCAGGGAATGCACACACACACACTCACAAACACACAACCATCATGCAATTAAAATGTAATTTTGTAATGCTGTAATTTGATTTTTTTGTTTGCCCTTTCCAGCTGGCCAGCTGGTCATTTGCCGTTTTTCAATTGAAAATTGCTTAACTCAACGAACTTTGATGGTTTGCCAGCAAGAGATTACTAAATTGTCAACTAATTTGAGTTTGTGAAAATATATAATTAATGAACTAACTATATTAAATGTAATAATAGGACAATAGAAAACAGAAATTCACTTTCGCAAAAAGCAGAGTCTGCAGAAAGATATATACATATTCAAATTTCTGAATTTTTCTTATGTTAAAGTTTTAAAGGAAATGGCTCTCTTAATAATAATAAAATAGTGACTACCTTCATAAGTATTAAATATCAATTATACTTTTTATACCCTTGTAAGTAAGTATCTATGACCAGTAAGTAACTATGATCATTAAGCTTATCAATGAACTTTAAATAACTACAATCAGTAGATAACTATGATTAGTAATTAATTATGAGCAATAAGTAACTACGAGCAGTCAGTAACTCTGAACAGTATCTATCACCAGTAAGTATGTATGATCAGTCACTAACTTTGAACACTATAAAACCATGACTTGCAACTTTTGTAACACAACACATTTCTGATACTTGCCCGGCAGAAGTCACTTCGTTCCGGGGATGTTAGAACCAGTTGGGAATCATATGCACAGATGTGCGAGATTTATTTTGGAGCAAATTTAAGAGCAACCTATTTGAATGAAACTATGGAGTTATTCTTCTATACAATTTTACTAGTATATAAGTCGGAGCATGGCGAATCGGTGGACTATATATATACAAATATATATCTGGCATAGGAATGATCGGAAAATTTTAAGAAAAAAAATTATAGCTTTTCCAGTTTTCAACAGATTTCAATGAAATTTGATATATAGCCGGTCGATATTGATCTAGAATTTTGTGTAAAATTTTATGAAAATCGGACTACTATATCATATGAAAGCAATGATTACTTTATTGTTTTTTATGATATAATTTATATAAATATAATTTATATTGTATTAATTCCTAGTGATCGAATTTCAATATGCAAGGGTATACAAACTTCGACGTGCCGTTAGCTTCCTTTCATGTTAATATAATTTTAGGAAAGAGGTTGTTTTAGGTTAAATTAACAACAATAAATATGATACATAACAACCTAAATTCATATTAAATTTAATCAAATAGAACTTATATATAAAACCAATTTATAATTTGTAGTCCATCTCAGTTTCAGTCTCACAACAAACTCTCCACTAATTTGATAAGTTAAATAACTGTCACAGGCTTAAACAAATACAATTAATAAATGGTAAATTGCATGCTGGGCATACAAACTTTTTTTGTATATCGCATAATGCCTCATGAAAGCATTACAAAGTGTTATGGGGATATTTCGGGTTAAGGTCGAGGGGGGTTGGTATAAAATGTTAAACCGCCGGAACAAAGCAATCAGCGGAGAACCATGCGTGCGTGTGTGGAACAGAAACAACGCATAAACATAAAAAATATGCAAAAATAACAGAAATAATAAATGGAAAACGAAGAAAAAGCAGTGGCAGTAAGCGGGATAAACTTTGGATGCCACGCCCCTATATACAAAAATTCCGCCTAGGCGGCTTTAGAGCTTGTGTTTCGCTTACAATTTATATTTTTACTCTACATGAGGCTATTTTATATGTTCCTACAAGGCACTGAGGGAAAAGCTTTTGAATTAACAAAAAGAAACATTTTAAACCTGCTGCTTCTTGGACATGGCTAGATTACTTCGACTGTAGATGCTGATCATGAATATTTATGTTTAGAAACGTAAGAAATGAGATGTTCAATGCTAAGCTCTTACTTTAATTATAACACCATGCAAAAAGAAAAGAAAGAAAGTTTAAAAAATTCTTAGAAGTGCATTCAATTTTATGTTCCCTTTGTATCTTCCCCCGAATTTTTCAAGTGTACTCCTCGCTTGTTTCTCCTAAACGAATCTCCTAATTTCTTGGCTCTTATTTTATTCCTTTTCCCGGTTTAAACGCAATGTACAACATTTTTTGTTTAACAACAACACAAAGGCCTATATACACACACATACACATCATATTTGTGGCCAAAAGAGAGAGAG